AATTTGAGTTTGAATTGTTTTCTTTTGCATATGTCAAATGATATAATATTAGCATTTTTTGAATCATTAAGAACATAAAATAAAGTTTTCCAATCAATGTGAAAATTGCTATATTTAGTAAGTTATAGAAAAGTTAGAAAAGCTTCAGTCTAAGAGGCTTGTTGCAAGTGTTTGATAAATAAGCAAGAAGGGATTATAATTGATGTATTATTATGATATATAAAATATTTAGAGTTAAGGTGATTATTATTAATGCTTAGAAAAGCACCAGTAAGTTATTTTGCTAAAATGTCAATTTGATTGTTAAATTGGTCATTTCTATAAGCTTTAACTTTGGTGAGCGTTAATTTAATATTGTGTGTGATAATGAAATACAACATTATCATCTAAATATGAAAGTAAGGAAGTTTGAATATAGGATTTAGAAAAGAAGATACTTTACAAAGTATAATGATTTTGTGATATAATGCAATTGCAGCTTATGAATTAGTACAGATTTTAATATTAACATTAGGAGTTGAGGTATAGACAGTAGTAAGAATAGCAACTATTTCTGCTAATATAAAGAAAGGTGAATGTAAAACAAGTATAATATTAAGGAGAGTGAAGGCCAATTCTGATCAGTTTATAATCATGTGAATTTCATCTAGCAATTAAAAGATCCTAAAGATGTAAGGGAACCATTAGTATAAAATTAAAGGAAATCAGCATTAGTAAATTGAGTTTTAAGATAATCTAATTTATTAATAGATAATTGATCATAAGGGAGAATAAATAAATTAGGCAAAGGTTTAGTTGGATATTAATAAAAAGAGGTCAATTTTAATAGTGCAACTTCTTGCAATATTATGTGTAAAAGATTATACTACTAGCCATCATGAGGTTTATAAAAAACTTTAAATAATTAATAATATGCTTTTAGGTAGTTTAATAGCATAAAAACTATGTTTTTATTATTGTTTGTATAGTATAAGAGCTGAAGAATCAAAAAAATTACATCTAGTGTAAAGGACAATAGGTATACATTGATAGTCAGATTGATTTAGCAGATAGTGTTGTGCATGAATGATTATATCTTTAGCTTTAATTATTTTACCTAAAATAAATGTACTATATTAATTAGACTAAATGATTATAAAAGTTGAATTAATTGTTAAAACATTGAAATTGATGAGTTGGGTTAGTGCTTTAATTAGTGATGCATAAGGAGGATAACCATTAGATAAAAGTCTTTGTATTATTAATTAAAAGCTTTGACTCCAGTTAGTTGAACTATTTAGCATTATAGAATACTGAGTCATATACTATATTAAGATCAAAAATTATAAATAAGTTGAGACTATTTATAGTAGTAAGTTGGTCGATAATTAAAGTAAAAATGTACGAAGTTTAGCACGTTTTATCAATATATTTCTAGAAGAAGAGATTTTAAGATAAAAAGTGTGTCTTATCAATATATTTCTAAAAGAAAAAATTTTAAGATAAAAAGTGTGTTACTATCAATTTGTTTTAAGTAATAGTCCTTATCTAAATATTATTGAAATTTAAATCCATCTGTTTTGCAGCAGATAAAAAATCAGATCATCAGTTTTTAAAGGATCTTGTTTTAATATAAGGCCAGTCAGTTAAAGGAAATGATGATAACTATTCTAATAGTTGAAATTATAAGTTGCATAATTATAAAATCAAATCAAGTAAAGATATATCATTAATTATTTTTAATAGATCAGATGATTTTGCTTACAACTATTTACCATAGAAATGTATTAGGTTATATTCAAAGGTTGAGTAAATAATAGATGCTGATATGAATCTTAAAAGATGCAATTTCTTTTTGAAAAAAGTTCTAAAAGATATCAAGAGTATTGCAGATAAATTGAGATATAAACGTAAACTTAGTCTTATAAAGTATGTAAGAAATAACTACTGTATTAAAGATTGTGATCATATATTTAGCTGTGAACTTTTTCTTATTAAGCATATTTTTTGTTTTTATAAATTCATCAAAAATTTGTTTAATAACGAATTGTTTATTATTAAAAAGGGATACTCTAATTCCTAAATATTTTGTGAATTTTTTGTAATGTAGTAGCAGAAATCAGATATCTTTATCATTGAATTTAAAGTTAATGAAAGTAGAGTTCTTATCATTAATCATTAGTATTATTTATTTCAGTTGATTTGAATGCTATTGAATATGTACAGTCAACTCTTGTTATAGCGAACTCTTGATATAACGAATTTTTTGAACAAATATAATAAAAATACTCTTGTTATAGCGAATTGGCCAATCAAATCTCTTAAAATCTTCACTATAGCCTTATAGCAAAGTTGAGGTCTAGGACATAGAGTTCGTTATAACAAGAGTTGACTGTAAAAGTAATTTGCAATAGTCATTATATTTTAAAGATCAGTTCTAGAGTCAGTCATCCAAAGCGTATTATCTATATAAGTAAGGGTAGGAATATAATTTAAAAAGCTTTGTATATTGCATATTATAATATCTGTTTTTTAGTTAATATGTTAGGTGTAGTTATATGATGAATTTTGTACGAAATACAAAGAGGATCATAGTAAATGCATTATAGAATAGGAGAAATAATTTCTTCTTGATCAATTTCTAAAAGGATTAAGTAACTATCAGTATTACTATAAATAGTAAAAATTTGATTAAAATAAGAAAGAAAAATTGAAAACAAAAATCTGATAAAAGCTTCTGAAATATGAAGACGACTGCGAACTCTGATTAATATAGTAATAATGATATAGTTATACATTTTTGACATATCTTGAAATAAGACTTAAAGATTATTATGATAAAATGAGGTATTATATTTAACATTATCAATAATATAGATTGGTTCAAAAATGCTTTTATAGGTAAGCTGGCAAAGTTGTTTTCTTTAAAAATATTGTTAATAAACATGATATTTAAAAGTTGACCATTGATTTGCTTAATAAGTATTTTATATGAGCATTCTAGAAGAATAATAGGATAAGTATTTATAAAATTGTATTTCCAAGATTTGGATTTAAGAATTAGATAGATAAAAACTAGATTCCATCTGCTAAGTAACAAGTTGAGTGAAAAATATTTACAAATAATGGTCTAGAGCATTTTGACAAATATGAATTAAGATGTTTTAATATTTCATTAGAAATCTTTAAAGGTTTATGAGCTTTATTATTAGAGAAAGCTTTAATGATGTTGTATCATTCCTCTTCTGAAGAAGGTTGCATAATAGAAATATAAATGTCAGAGTTAATAAAATTATCTGAAATGTAAACTTATTCTCATACTTCTAGAAGTGATAGATTAGAATATTGTAATTCTACTACTTGTTAGAAATGATGTACAGTTTCTTTTTATATATCTTTTAGGTCTGTAAGAAGCTTTTTATCAGAACTATAATTTTTTATACATCTATTTAATATAATAATATTGCAAGGTCATTTTAATAGTGAGTTAAACATGACTTTTGATCATCAATTAGATTTGCATATCATCATTCAATTGCTTCATTAATTGCTTTCATTTTAAATTCAGTTTCATTTAGTTTAGTTACTATAGAGAGAATTTTGTAAAGATCAATCAGTAATGACCTAATTATTCTGATGTTTTAGATAAAAGTTTAGCTAATATCTAGAAGTGTAATTGTAAATTATGATAAAAATACGCATATCTTTTTGTATAAAACAATTTATTTGGAATTAATAATATTATGAAAGATACAATTATTGCTTAATCTACAAAGCTTTTTGACTAAATTGATGCATTTATCATTTTGAGAATGCGTGGTCTAAGATTTCTAGTATGATGAAAAGTATATTTATTAAAAATTATTTTAGTGGCTGTATCAATAATTGACTTTTGCAAAAGATTCTAATAAGAATTAAGATGGTATATAGTATGGTTATTGTTTGGTGTCAAAAAATTTAATCTAGTATTTTTGCATCATTAGTCCACTGAAACTCTAAAAGTATTTTAGTCATCATCAGACATATAATGGTATTAAAAAACTAATTTTTAATTGCTAATTGTTATATGAATGAAGAGTTAATTGATGTTAACAAAATTGTAACATGAACAATAGCATAATCAGATATATCATTATTAACTTTAAAAATCACTTAATCAATTAGATCAAAAACTAGTAAAAAGTGAATAAAAATGTGATCAATAGTAGAATGTCCAGTATTGGTTTCATAAGTTATAAGATCACTAGCTGATTTTTGATTTTTTACTAAATCTAAATTGTTGATTTAGTGGAGGTCATCAAGTGAGTTAAAAAAAGCCTTTGAATTTGAAGAATTAAAAGCCTTTGATGGATTAGTATTAAAATCACCAAGGAGTATCACAAGAAAATTCTTTTGGTAAGCATCATTTATTAGATCTAAAGTTTTCTTATAAATTTGCTACATAGCTGAGTATTTAAACTAAAGATATAAATATTAATAATATGAAGTTTAGATTATTTTTAAATTAAAAATTGAGTGAAAAAAAATGCGGTGAAGAAGAAAGAATGGTAAAACATGTGATCAACTAAATGTTTTTTAATAAGAAACTAACTCTAAAGCTTATTCTTTAGGAGGAGATATCAGTATTAAAAAAGGGAACAAATTTGTCAGAGTAAATGGGTTTTAAGAAATGTATACTTAGCTAAAAATCCCATTTTTTTTTGATATGCTTTTATAATACCTTTGTAATATTTTTGTAATATTAACATTATTTTGTAAAGCTTGAAATTGTTTTTATATATATTGTAATCATTTATGAGTACTATGACATAATGAATATTAAGAATATTGCAAATTATATATTTAAAATAATTTAAATAATAAATCGTAATAATTTTGCAATAGTTACATTATTAATAATAAAATCGAATTAAGATAATAAATTGAAACAATATTTGCAATGGTTACATTTTTGAATTGTTACATTTTGCATGATTACTGAAGCATATCACAGCAAAACTAACTATACTGTGAAATTGAATTTACAAGGTTACATAACTACGAATATCTATATCTTGTGCTAATGTCGTTCTACTCTCAGAAATAATATGTATATCAACTGTAATATGATCAAGAGTATGCAAATCAACCAGCATTGCATTTTGCCATCCTGCTCGTTGGACCTTCATAGCATTATTGTAAATTGCATGGTCAACATTTTTACGCACAAAGAAACAGATCATGTTTAATGTGACTTCAACAATATATTCTTTTAGAGAATTCCAAGACGATTTGTTTTTGAACAAATGATCCCTTTTAACTTGCTTTAATTGTGGCTCAAAAATATTGGTGATATCATCTGTACTCACGAAATTTTGAAGGTGAGACGAATTTGGAAGATTGTTCAAAGATACATTGTATAATTATATAATTACAGTTAATAATATGTATTCAAAAAAAAAAATTGAAAGAATATAATAAAGTAATATTTACCTATAACCATCTAAGAAATCAAATGCAATTTGGGTACATCTATCATACAATCGTACCCTTCATGTTGGGAACCATCTGCAACCTTTCTTCTTCGCATCACTAGCGTTAATATCAGCAATTCTGAGATGTCTTGCACATTCTCTAGCTAGTGCTAAGATCAGTTCCAGTGTTGGCTTACAAATATGGAGAAAAAGAACCTTTGATTCATTAATGAATAAGAATGCAAGTCGAGTCTTAAAGAATATATAATTGGAGAAATATTTTATTAATTGTAATGTTATTTTCATATTCAGCAAGTAAAATACCTTAATATTTGAAACATTCACATTATTCAGAGATGTGTATTATAGATTTGATTAGTGAGTGCATTATTATTTATTATAGCTGAAGTAGTCATATTGCCAGAAGCTATAATAGATTGCGGATGCATATATGATGTATATCCCGTATTTGGTAAAAGTGTACCTGATTTCATTGCTTGAACAAACATTGGTGCTAAATTATTAAAATCAATGCAATCGATAGATGTTATAGATGCCATATTTTGTTCATCCGTAGAAGAGACCGATCGTGGTGCAGTGTGTGCCATAGATGCCATGTTTTGTTCATCTGTAGAAGAGACCGATCGTGGTGCAGTATGTGCTATAGATGCCATGTTTTGTTCATCTGTAAAAGAGACCGATCATGATGCAGTGTATGCCATAGATGCCGTATTTTGTTCATCCGTAGAAGAGACCGATCGTGTTGTAATATTATTAGTGTTATCAATCGATTCCAATTCATAAATATTGGCGAATAATGGCTTTACTTGAGATATAGAGGTTTTACGTAAAGGTAATTCCTGGTCATGTTCTTTAGTGGATTCTATAAAGTTCTGTTATGTCAATTTATATTATCATTTGCAAAACCCACCTAAACTAAT